GCACTCCTCCCGCTCCAGACGCTGTCGTCATTTCGCCGTTGTGTTTTGTTTCACGCCCCGCAACCTCGTCCCCTTCGTATTGCATGAGCGCGCATGTCGGTTTTCCTCGGCGCCGTCGCGGCCTCCGCCAGCACGGGCGCAATCTCTAATTGCCACATTGCGCCGCAACCGATGGGACAACCCCGCGGGCCAGGCCGTTGGAACTACCCCGCGTGCCGCTGGCGCGCGAGACCATGCCATTGGAACAACCCCGCGGGCGTCGAGCGGGCCGCGCCAGAGGCTCTCGGAGCTGACGAGGCCAGCGGTTCACCTCTGAGGAAAAAATACCCACATGAAAACATGACTTGCAACTATTCCCGACATATCCAACCGCAGCAGCTGCTGGCCAGAAGCTCCTGCAGCGGACAAGGCCAGGGGCCCACGTCAAAACAACAACAAACACAATACAAGAACTGCTGGCGTCCGCCCCCACGGGCGTTGGAAACGCCACAATTCGGGCAGAACGGCACGGCGACTGTCGCGGCAGACGTGCAGGGAAAACCACCAGACGCCCAATCGTTACGTGCTCAGGACGTGACCCTCTAGGTCAATGCAGATTCAATGTACGGTCTCGCACATTTTGTTTCCACATCAAGAAACCGATGGCTGATAATTCGAATGGATTTGAAAACCTTCGTATGAAAAACGCTTGAAAAAGAGGACTACGAATGCACGGCCCACCGCTCCCTAGAAGGGGTGGCGGCGTATCAGCATGCGCAACGTTCCCTCACGCCGTCGTCGTCCAGCACCTTGTCGTCGTCCTCTTCCTGCGGTACCTGGTCGTCGTCGTCGTCCTCGTCATCACCTTTTACTTTCTCATCATTCGCGGGCGAGCTCTCGCTAACATGAGCTGCGGGCTCCATAGGGAGGGGGCACCCACCTTAGACTTCCTCGCAATTCACTCACAGACGAGGCTCTCGCCTGATACTTCCACCATACTTAAGCCTCTGGAACCCAAAAATGAAGACAATTGCAAGTTTGAGGATGATCCGCTTCATATTCGACTGTGAGCTGCGGCCCCCTATAAAGCGGAGGCTCCCGCCGAAGACTTCCTCTCAATCCACTCACAGACGACGCTCCTGCCGGATACTTCCACCATATTTAGGCCTTAAATGCTCAGACGCGACGACACTTACAAGTTTTCCGATGACCCGCTCGGATTAAAAACGTGAGCTGCGGGTTCCATAGAGAGGGAGGGAGGGGGCTCCCGCTTCAGACTTCCTCGCAATTCACTCATAAACGAGGCTCCCACCTGATATTATTTCCATATTGCAGGCCTCACGGGCCCAAAAATGATGACATCTGCAAATTTTCCGATGACCCGCTCGGATTAAAAGCGTGAGCTGCAGGCCCCATAGAAAAGGGGCTCCCGCCTGGAACTTCCTCGCTATTCACTCACAGACGAGGTTCCCGCCTGATACTTCCTCGATATTCAAGCCTCTCCGGCCCAAGAATGATGACTGCTGAAAGTAATCTGCGGGCCACATAGAGAGGGGGCTCTGGCCTGAGACTTCCTCGCAATTAACTCACAAACGAGGCTCCCGCCTGAGACTTCCTCCGTTGATGAGGACGATGGTAATGGTTGATGGTGACGATGGTGATGGTTATGGTGGTGGCGGGTGATGGGTGATTATGGTGACGATGGTACTGGGTGATGGTGATGGTGCTCACTCACAGACGGGGCTCCCGCCTGAGACCTCCTCAAGCTGAGTGTGTGGGTGTGTGAATGAGTGTGTGCGATAATGACGATGGTGACAGTGGTGTTGTGATAGCGATGATGATGACGATGATGAGTGGTAATTGTGAGTGAGTCGACCACTCAGGATAAGTAAGTGGTTGTGATTGAGTGAGTGGGAGTGGTCGAATGCGTGTGCGTGAGTGTGTCAGTGATGTTGATGCTGTGATGATGATGTGGGTGTGGGAGTGTTTGGATGCGTGAGTAAGAAGAGAGGGGGGCCTCCATCCTGCTCCTGTGCGGGGTGCCTCGAGAAAACATGAGCCCTAGTCTGGATGTGGGGAGAAGTTGCCGTGAGCCAGCTGCCGCCCCCGTGCTCGACGCTCAGGGACGCACTGCGTCAGATCAACCGAGATGCTCGACATTTTGAGGGCGCATGTCCCGTTTTGGAGCGCCTTCCCCCGGACGGACGCGCGACGCGCGACGCCTTCCCCGGTGGCCGGGCGACCCAGCTTCGGCGACGCCGATCGCGCCCTCCGCTGCCGCGGGTGCGCGAGCACGCGGAGCCCAGAAGCGACGACCACTCTTTGCGGAAGAGGGCAAGTGGTGTGGCCGCCGTCGGGAAGACCACGAACTACGAGCGGCTGGCCGAGAAAGGGGTGGCGCCACCCCATCACGATTGGCCAAGGAGCCCCGACTCCAAAGCCTCGGTCCGCGCCCTGGACAACCGGGCGCACGTGGGGGACACCGATGCAATTGTGGGGCGACGAGAGCCGGACACCATCC